GAACTCAGTCCAATCGATATTCTCATAATAGTCTTCAAATAAGTCGGCAGTAGACATGAAGCACTTTTCAAAGCAATAAGCTAGATTTGTGTTCATCAACTGCATAGTCCAGACGACAATAGCGAACATGTTATTGTTCTAGTAAAAGAACACATATATATGAACAGAATTTTAATAAACGAGCACAAATACGTCGTTATTACGTAGCAATTTTATAATTTCGTTGAAATTGTTATTGCTGTCTCTTTGCGGTTGCGCATTTGTGATAAATACTGGCGGACTGAAAGCTATTTCAGAACTGTCGATTTATACCAAATATATCGCTATTGGAAATTCATCTACGCATTCTCTTTAACGACACGAGCAGAGAAGACATTTTTGTTACGTTTTTACGACTACTGACGCACATTGTGTCTTATAAAAGGATAAATGTTTGCAACAGCAAAAAGGCAAGCAAGACTGCATTTCCTACTACATTTCCATTACATTACGCATTTGTGATGGGGACTGGCGGAAGGAAGACTATCGCAGAACTCTAGATTTTTTACCAAAATTATCGCTATCGGAAAGTTATCTACGCATTCTCTTTAACAACACGAGCTGACAAAACATTTTTGTTTTTTTGTTTGACTACTGACGCACAGTGTGCCTTATGAAATGATAATTTTATAAAACGGCAAAAAGGCAAACAAAGTTGAATTGCCTACCTCGGACGGATCCAGTTCTAGGATTCGTGTTTCTACACCAAATGCCTCCTCCACTTCTTTGGCGGCAGACTTTAGTTTTGGCCCCTTCCCATCCACCATGAAGATCTTAAGTCCCTCCTTGGCGAGTTCCTTGCAGAAGGCCAGGCCAATGCCGCCAGCTGCGCCCGTAACGACAGCCCATTCACCGGCTGACCTCAGCTCCTTTCGTTTAGAGTACAGCCATTTGCCAAAAGTATATTTAAAGAACACAGACAAAAGTACGTAGGTGATTAGTATTAGGGGAGATACCACTGCAAGACCAAAAATCACCGCAAACCAGCCCATATTGTGACGGAGACAGCAGAATTCTGTCGTGACTGTGAGAACAGCGGTGTGGTCACAGAGCTCTGTGCGTCTTGCAGGCGATGGAGCCGTAATTACTCTGAAGACAGGCACCTATCACGC